AGTCAGAATAACACTTAATATTTGTACAAAAGTAGAAATTTGTATAGAAATTTTGCATATGACAGGCAAGGAAAAATTGGTCGGCATTCGTCACCTACTTAGATAAAAAGCAAATATACTGAGTTTCGGCACGATCGGTAATTTACACTTGCCTAAGTCCCCTTGTCAGTCCCCCTGTCGTGGGAGAATTACACATCTGACGGCGAAGTCGCGTCGGTATTTATTTACCAAATGGGTTTCACGCCTTATGATTTTTCGAAGTTGAGTTATACCGTACGACGCAGGATCGCGAAGTTTGCTCTTCGTTGTGTGCATGCTCCGTGCTCTGCCGCTGCCGGCCCCCGCCCACCGCCGTGCGACTAGGGATTAGGCAACCCGCCTGCGCGCCTGCGTGCGGGACAGTACAACTGCAGGACTTACGGCGGCGCTCGGGAATCGTGCCACACGCGAAGCAGACTTTGAAAGACATGTCTTGCAAGTTTTCAATTTCGCATGCCGACGTTGTCGTTACCCCCTTTGTGCTCTCTGTCTTGGTACATGCGTGACAGCGCCGAACGAACGAATAACTTTTATGAAATACTGTCTTGTGGACCCGGAGGAGCAGCTCCGGCCGGGTTCAAACATGAATCTGTATGACGCCGAGAGTGGAGTAACACCTGTGAAGCCGGACAAGCGCTGCTCCCCCGCCCCGCCGCGGCCGTGGGCCCTCCTGCCGGCCCGGACCAGCGAGGCCGGATGCTGGCCAGCCTGGACCAGATCCCTGTTGTATGACCGTGCTTCGCCGCTTTGCCGCTTCGGCCCTCGGAACACGTGTCCGTGTCGTTGTGGCGCAGCCCAGAGGCGCAGCGGGGACTCTGCCCCCCCCCCTCCCGCACCCCCCCTGGAGCCTCCGGGCTGGAGGACTGGAACCGCTGCGGCTGCGGGGCTTCCAGACCCACCATATCGGAGCCACTCCTGAAAAATGTAATTTTTCTTCACGATTTAAACTATCCAGAACATCATAACTTGTCTCGATAACCTATGTTGCTGTGGCGCTATGTGCGGTGCGCGGCCAGCGAGGCAGGCCTAGGCAGGCAGGCACTCCGTGCGGGGTTCGCCGTGCGGTAAGGACCAGACCAGTACCTTCCAGTGCGAATGTAAGTGGCTGGGCAGGGCTCTTGTCGTGACCATACCAGAGTGCTCGTCCAGTCCTCGGCCGGTCGAGCTACCTCCGCCGCATGGGTAGACATCCCGCTGCCCCAACCTCGTGAAGTGTAGTTCGTGTTACTCTCGGTAGACCATTATTTCGTAAAACACACATTTAAAAAAGAAAAATGTGTCTTTATTTCGTCTTGATTCTGTGTGTAGGGGACATTTTTTAAATATTTTTATGAATTCCGCACACATGCAGCATAAATTAACTCCTCATTACAACAAAGGGCATCGTATCCTGCATTCGATAGAGAAGAAGATGCATAATGAGGCGACAAGTTCTCGCCCGACCCCCGTCCTTTCTGCGAGCCCAAAAGTTGTTCGAATGAGAGTTGTCTGGTACTCGAGGGTTGTTTTAAACGCGCGAGCGTGATGCGAGGCTCTCCTCGCGTGGCGCTTGGTGCTGTCGCCGCTGTCGCCGCTGTCGCCCCGAGCTATGCAGGTGGGACCCAGACTCCGCGGCGCCGCGGTAAGAGACCGGCGGGGCCAGCGGGGCCAAGAAGCTCGCGGCCCCGAGCCGAGCAGCCGGGGCCGGGTCTCTGGCGGACTTGACCGGCGCCGAGCCGAGCCGGGTGATGCATTCCGCGCGACCCGCGGCCCGCGGCCGTGGACGCGACCGACGCGACGAAGACGACACGCCGGGTGTCGTGCGGGTCTCAAAGAGAGGGGGCTTAGAACAGTTTAGAAATGCCAGTGCGGCTGATAAAGCCCGCTCACTTTTCTGTAGTTACATACTGTACCGCATGCAAGGCGTGTGGGTGGGTTGCCTATCCGGTCGGGGCCATAAGGAGCCGTGGGCGCCCGCACCCGTGCATGCGTTACAGTATAAGTATTAAAGTGCGCGGCGTGAATCAGCCCCCTGGTAGGCAAAACCCGACGCCCGCACGGCCTTGCATGTGGTACAGTATCACTAGAAAAAGTGCGCGGGGTTAAAATCAGCCCCCTGTGGTACAACGCCCTGCGGCACTTGCTGAAACCACTGAAACGAACGCCAGGAAACTGACTGGTGGCCAGCAGCAGCCAGCGTGTGCGAACTCGGCGAAAACTGGCCGGTGGCATCGACGAGACGAACCCTCTGCCGTCAATACAAGTTTGGCCTGGCGATAGAGGAGTGATCATGAGTTATAGCCCACAGTCTACGTACACAACGTCCAGCCCGACACTTTAACTTTGCCATAAAGTGGCGAAATGGTAGGTATAGTCAGGCGGAGGTGAGTTGTTTGTTCACTGCACGCGGGGCTTCGCCTCCAGTGTGCAGAACAAAAGAATTGTAAAATTTCTCTCCTCTCAAGTAAGTTTGAAAAGTGTTCGTCAGTACTGCGCTCCACACTCCATAGTGTAGGAAAACCTTTTATGTTTTATTTCTCCGTTTTATTTGTTTGTGCGCTCGAGCGGAGAATCATTTAGCCCACACCTATGTCTGCGGGCCAGCACAGATTTTATTACACAAGAAAGGAATACATTTTTGTAAAAAGGCAAGTTTCTGTCCACCGGATGCACACATTAAGAGGAGATTGCTGCCAGGAAGGACCCGGGGGACTTTACACGGCTTCGCATCATACTTTTAATAATAAATCGTTACTCACTATGCCAAGGCCAGTCCAGTCCGGTCCTTGGGAGGAAGCAAGTCAATCCATTTGTCGATTGGTTTCCAAACTTCATGTCACCGAACCAATACAGCTGATTTGCTGTTGTACTTCATACTTCATTGACTGGCGCACCTCATAGGTAGGCAACCCTTTCTACGCTTGCCGCCCGATTCAAGAGAACAGTTCTTGACACTCAAATTTATCTGCATAGGACTGAGTTTGACGGAACCAAGGGTATTTTGTTCCTGGTTTACACCTGTTCATTCCAACCCTCCCCCATCATAGTGTAAATCCCACCAACCATGCAGCTGAGCTTTCATCCTTTCTGCACCAGTCCAGCTCGAGTGGAGTAGGGTAGTAGTAGATTGTCTGCCAGGCGCACTGGTCAAAGTAAGGGAATTACAGCTCTGCCTTTGACAGGAGAGTGAAAGAGGAGTCTAGTCTGCCAGACCAATCTCAATAATTTCTAGCAATTTAAATATCTAATGGTTCTCTTCTGGTTTGTGAAATGTTAATATTGCAATTCCTACATTAAACTTGTTGTTTGGTTTTACTGCAGTAAAGAATGGAAAGTATTTCCTTTGTGAATTTTTTAATAATTTGAAAACACTGCTACTTTATTTACATTAGCTTTTGGGGGGAGCGAAAACGGTCATACTATTGGAATTTCATATTACCAGAGATAACTTGATTATCTTTAACAATTTACATAGAGTGAGACATGTGACTTATTATACAGTTCATTCATAACAATAATGATAACAAGAAAACAATTGTTGTCACAATACATTGACTAAAATATATTTTCTCATGCAAAGAAGATGTGAGCAATTGTGATCTACATTAGTACAGTATCTCTCCCTTACTTAGCAAATGAAAAAAATGTATCTTCCAACAAATTTCACTCCCAAATTGAACAATTGGTCTACACGATTTTTAGCAAAAAGAGGCATATACCTGGAAGAATAAAATTAAAGGTAGCAAAGAATCTTCAGAACCAGAAGCGCTGAAGAAAATTAACTACTGGGAATTGCAGCATAGTTATTGTAAATGTAGAAAGGTACTCTCAGAAAAGTATCAGCATAACGCCTACAAAATTTGGCATGGTATTATAGACACAAGGAAATTTTAAAATAATACGTGACCAAACTAATGGCACAGCAAAACTGATATGATTTAACACCACAGCTGAAAAACATTCACTAATCTTAGGTGTATTTGGTGCTGGTTGGCCATACAAAATCATGTGTCTGGTGAGTCAATCAGTACCTAAAACTAAAAAATCTTCAGAAAAATTTAGTGAACAAATGTAAAAGTATCTGATCCAAACACAAATTTAGTACCTTAGACCATAGTACCCCGTATTTTGTACATACATATATATTGAAATTTGGGATAGGATCAGTGTTTGAAGACTACTGCTATCATATTCAACTAATTTCAACACTTTGTTTGGTAGCTTCCCGGGCACCATTAAAATCACTTTTAAAAACTGTTCATCTTGCAATATTATGAAGTATTCTACAATGTAGCACGGTGACTTACAGGGTAACTTATGAAGTAACTTGTTGGCAAACAAGAAATGACTGGCAATGGTTCAATATGTTTTACATAATGACTAAAATATTATTTTTAAAAAATTGGTCTAATAAACGAGGAAATGGAAAAATACCACAAATGATCAATCTAAATTTGAATAGGGATTATTGTACTCTAGGCCACAATGTCATTCTTGTCCATGGCAGTGAGGTAATGTACAATTCCTTTATGTTAGAAGCAAGATAATTATCACATTTTCAGATGTACATAGCCGATTTTGCAATAAGAACCCTTAATATAAATAAGAGGCTGAACATGTTGGGAATGGCACGGGGCGACATGAGGTAGACAGCTCCTTTGTCAGGTAATTACAATAGCAGATCACACCAATATTCAGGGAAATCCTAACTAGAAAAGATACAACTCCTGGCCAGGTATATACCTCTTTTTTTCATGAGTTAAATAAGCACGCACATTTTAAAGACTGCTTTGCATGCTGATCCTTTTTTCTATCATGCAGTCACTCTTAAATTACCTCACAATAAATTCATTTCATTTTTACAGGTTACAACAGTCAAGTATGCAAAATGATCACATACAGAACAATATAGTACACACTTTCACAGTCACACATAAGCAGAATTCTTACAGCCACAAGCACCCACACAGATACTCTATATGTAACATCTTCTGGAAACGTTTCCAATAAAAATCCACAAATATTCACAATAAGATACAAAATAATAAAGCACCATATCACCATATACAAAAAGCCTTCAATCTTCCCTTATTATAATGGACCAGTAAGGGCTATATAATCTTGACATCAAAGTTTTCTCAAAAATTTCTGTTAAATCAACTTCCCCAACAACCATACCATTAGGGTCTGGACCTCTAAGCTAAAACAAAAATTGGAGAAACACAACAGCAGTACCTAACATGATTGTTTTACCACAGATTCAAAGAAGTGCTTAAAATATTAACTAAACAATTAGATTTAACGATTAATAAGGCACTTTATTTGATCTGGTTTTTGATGTGCTGCAAAAACTCATAGTAGGACAATGATGACTCAGTGCGATCTTCAATAAGACGGTCGAAGAACTTTGCACGGAACTTGCTATCTTCCCTGTAAGAAGAGTTTAAGTATTAGAAAAAAAACTTTTAAGTAAAAGACCATGTAAATCAAGAATAGACACTGTAAATATTAACCTGATTATGTGAAGTGTTGCAAAATATGGTTTCTCAGATTGAAGGTAAGTAAGGAAGTTTCTTAACTTTCTTGAATCTTCACAGTCAATCTCTGGTAGCTCAAACTGAAATATGAAATATGACTTAGTTTCTATAATCCAGGAAGACAACAATAGCTATTTTGGAGAGAGAAATAGAACATTACCATATCTTCTGGGATGGCACTAAAAGAAGAAACTCCAAGCACATTTTCACAGAATATTGGAGAAATAGCTCGGCCAACTAGAAGTAGCATCTGGTCTCCAGCATCCAAAAGAAAAGCACCTTGAGAATTCACTTTCTCTGCAGATAAATGAAGTCTTGGCGGTATGGTAACTGGCATATCATCAACCAGTACCTCTTCATGCTAGGTAAAAATAAAAATTCACAGTTTAATACAATTAGTCCAGAAATCTATTCAATTGGATAGATAAATCATGTACAGAGCTTCGAATATACCTTTGGAGTATTGTTAGTTGGTAGCTGATCCAAACAGTGTACTGGATAGAGGTCTGGATATATGAATTGTATAAGATTTGTAAGGGGTAATGTCTTCATTTGACACATAGCAAAGAATCGGTCATCAAGTCTTGTAGTTGTACCAGATCGAAAGGCAACCTACAGAAGAGATTGATTGGGTCATTTACATATAGTTGTGCAAAAATATGTTAGCCGAGCCCAAAATAAAGAGTACTTACATTTTTTAGTAAAGCGAGAATATAGAGAGGTAATAACCTCAAACTTGTTGGAGCAAGAAGGCCAGCTCCCATTACAGATGATTGAGTTACTTTGTAGGCAGAAAGTGCATCAATTACCACATTTATAAATGCATCCCTAGCATCAGATAATGAAGATTGCTGAGATCTATCAACAGCTGTCAATCAAAATCACATTGTTAAGATGGTAATAACAATAGATACAGTATTAAATCATACGAGCAAAAAAATCTAATCAACACATACCCATTTTAGCCAATAGTCCAATAATGCATTGTTGATCTGCACTGTGCAAAATATCAGGCAAATTTGCGGCAATTGGTAAGCACAAAGTGTGAACACGAATTCTTCTCTCTCCTGTGATTTTAAAAAGTGAGAGAGTTAATTGAAGAAAGGAACAATGTAAAAACTATGACCATCCAACTATTAGGTACAAACCTTTGCCTGATGTATAGAGTAAAGCAGCTTGGAAGCAAACATTCTGCATATCGGACAAATTTTCTTCAATTGAAACTTGCATTCCAAAGCCTGCATCTGGATTGATGTTGGGTAAGGACAACAAGTCAGTAGACCGAACATAAAAGTTGCCATGGAATGTGTGAATAGACAATCCTCTGCAGAAAAAAAGGACAAGTATTCAAAAATTATTTTAAATGATTAATAATAAATTTCAAGCTTTAAAAAAAAAAAAAAAAAAAAATACTCTTCAAAGTGGAAATTAGTGAAAGGTCTTTTACCTGCTACATCTGATCCTCATCACAGCTTCAAATCCAATCTTTCGCTCTAGGTATCTACGGAAAGCAGATTCAAAACTGTCTGACAACTGGATATTACTTGATTGGAAGAGGGGGAAATGATAGATGCATCCACCTGAAAATCTGGCGAATCCAGCTGCAAAAGCGAATAAAAGATTGTGGTGAATAGATAAATACAAATGCAGAAAGTGCAAGATGCTTGAGGAGCAAAGAATTGTAACGCAAGAATTAAGACTCCAAAAGACTTACATAGAGTGGCAAGATCAGAATATTGTTGGTTCAATAGGAACATATCAACAGCAGTTTGCTGTCCTGAGAATTCAAGGGCAAGCTGTTTGTAAAAGTCCGTTGCAGGATTTAAATGAGGAACATCTTTTGACGCTCTATTTGCTGGATCTTCTCTTGCCTTAAGAGCCCCTGGACCCTTATTGGGTAAACAGCATTGGAACACTGTAACACGTCCTCCTGTTGGACTCTGAAATAGGTAACCAGAATTAGAATACTGCCAATGCTTGCCAATTAATTTAAGCAATGTTAAGTGAATTTCATCTAATTGATTGATTCATTGAATTTTGTACAGTACCATCAACTTAAATGCTGCTTGTAAAGCTGCTCCAAGAGCACTTCCTGTATCATATGTTTCAGAAAATTTTGTTGGTAACATAAGTAATAGGTTTTGAATTAGTTCTTTACGTTCTCCACGGTTGGCTAAAAGATTTTCTGGACATGGTAGAAACACATCTGTAATATTAAATTACAAAAATTATTGCAAATTTAAAACAATACTGGTGGTTTGGAAAATGAAACATGTTACATGACATGATTAAGTGGCTCTCCTATTGGGCTAATCACTACTTATTATGGCCCATCACTCGTCATTGTTCAGAGGGTTGGGATGATTGCAGTAGAAACCCAAACAGGAAATTAATCTAATTGAAGGGCCACCATAAAGGTTACATGCAACAACCTTTTTCATAACAGTTTGGTCATATTAGAAGTACATAGTTTTTACCATCAATATCCATGACCACCATTTGCTGTGGTGCACTCAAGCCTTCAGCTAAACTGTAGAAATGAATTGAAGAATCATATGTAATGAATCCAACTGATGTGCGTCCATCACCGGGAAGACGGTCCAGTTCTGATAAAAGGGTTTCACATACAAGCTGCAGATATCCGCTTTCCACAGCAAGACGAGAGACATCCAGCAGAAAAAGATACACAGCTGGCTGTGGTGGCCGAAGCTGAAAAATATCATTTGAAAAGGAATTTAAAGGGTATGTTTTTTTAGTAATTAGAAGATATAATAAACAAGAACATCCACACTCACCATGTATTCAGCAGGTGCTATAAATTCAATAGTGGCCGATTTCACTTCAGGTCTTCTCATGGGCTCGCCATATGTTTTAGTTGCTGGATCAAAGTTGAATTCATCTGGCACTGTGACAGGCAAAGAAGCACTATTAGAGAACTACTTCACATAGCTCCTGTCCAAAATAAATATATGACCATCAATCTTACATTCATTAACTCTAAAACAAAGATTGCATTTCCAATGCTTCTCATCCATAAAATAGACAAAAGGATTGATATATGTGCGACACACACGACAACGAACTATCGGTGTGCACTGTATCACTGGCAGGTTCTGGGAACAAGAAAAATATAATCAGAACAATTAAAATTTACACAAACCTATTAATGTTCAGAAAGTAATAATTAGATAATAAATAATGTTTAGTTGAACTCACAGCAAGATCTCTAAATGGGTGAATAAGCACACCCAATGGTAATCTAGATTTCTTGAGAAGAGAATCAGTTTCTGGAATCCTCGTAAGTGTACTGCGAAAGATATCAGGGCTACAATTTATACTGTGCTGGAAATCACCAGCAAGTCTAATCTTTGGCTCCTCAACTTTCTCAGGGGGTAGGATGTTTCGACTTTGAAGTAAATCAAAATGTTCCTGACCCTAGAGGCAAAAAATTACATTAGATGGATATTGGAAAGAATGTTTATAATTTATAGACTGTAAAGATGCATGACTCTCACATACCCAAAGTTTATTGAAGCCCGCTTGCGTCACACTCAAATTTGACATAGGAGTTGAGAGACTCTCTGGACCAGCCTGCTGTGGCTGTGAAAAGCAGAGTTTGATTAGTTAGAATTACGTTTATAATTTAATTTTAGTTCAATATAATAAAAGTATTACTATATTTGGACTCACATGCTGCGGATATCTCCTCAGGCCCATATCAGTAACTCCTGGTCCTGAAGGCTGGCTAGCCTGATTGGGCATGTAACCCCTTGGAAAAGAAGGTCCAGATAGAGACTGGCTAAGTTGAGGGTTTGCTACTCCAATTGGCTGTTGACTTGAGTAAGGCTGAGAGGCAGAGGTAGACATTTGTTGTGGTGGATATGCTGGTCGTTGAGGGCCAGCATGGCCAACAGGGGATGGAGAAGACCACTGAGAAGTGGGCTGAGATTGAAATTGTTGTCCAGGATATACAGGTTGTCCTTGAGGAGAGAGCATTTGCTGACCGGAAGGTGGAGGAAACTGTGTTCCGGGGCCTGGAGGGACTGCTCTTGGAGCATACTGCATCTGTTGACCTGGACCAGGAGGTAACTGATGTCCTTGACCTGGCCGCATTTGTTGTCCAGGACCAGGTGGACCTGGTGGTAATTGCTGTCCAGGACCAGGTGGACCTGGTGGTAATTGCTGTCCAGGGCCAGGTGGACCTGGTGGTAATTGCTGTCCAGGACCAGGTGGACCTGGTGGTAATTGCTGTCCTAAAGCAGGACCTACAGGCATTTGTTGGATGGGACCCGAAGGGTATTGCTGTCCCAGTCCATGAGCAGTTTGCTGCCCAGTACCAAAAGGGGGTTGCTGTCCAGGACCCGAAGGAAATGTCATCTGCCCTGGACCAGGTGGCATCTGTCTGACTGGTTGCATTTGACTCGAGGATACGTGCTGTACAGGTTGGATCTGTGCTTGACTTGTTGGCAGCTGCGGCCTTGAATTGGAAGGCATTTGTGTGGATGCTAATTGAGCTGGCACAGATTGAGTTGGTGGTGCCATTCTGGGAGTTGCCTGTACAGGAAAAGCTTGACCCAAAGGCCGCCCTTGGCCTTGTAAAGGATTTTGCTGCTGCCCAACTGATAAATTTGAAGGAGCTTGAGAATATTGAACAGGTCCACGTGAGCTCTGGGATAAAATATTTGATAATGGTACTGATCCAATAGGACCTCCTTGAGCTTGAGGTGGCTGAGATTGAGAAGCCGCAGTAGAAGTAAACAGATGGTTTCCAGTAGGGGGATGTGATGTGGTTTGTGGAGCAAAACTTTCAACAGCTTCAACTGCTTGAGAAGGTGGTTGTCCAAATATTGGAGATGGTGCATTACCGACTGACGTAGGTAGTCTCGGCAGAGGGGCAGTCGAAGAGTTTGGAATAGTTTGTTGAGCCCTTGCTGGAACTTGACCGACTGGAGGCATTCTCTGGCCTACATGTGGTGAAAAGTTTGTTGTAGAACCCGAAACTGGGGGTAAAGCATGATTTACAATAGATCCTGCAGGATTAGCCAGCGGTGATGGTTGGAGTGGTTGTTGATATCGAATTTGGTTGCCTGTCTGATTGTCAGCTGGCACTTGGGTATTATGATTTTGAGCATTCGATGGAGACCAAGCATTGGGATGAACTACACCAATTCTTGAGGGAGCTGGTGATGAGTCTCGGGATGAATGTGAGGAAAGACTACCTGAAATAATAAAAAAATACAAATACAATTGTAGAAGAAATATAAGAGGTATTGCCAAGCCAAAAATTGTTCAGACATCCTTATTCTTGAACATAGTAGGTCAGAAAAAAGAATTAGATAAATGTATCTTACCTGGATGACTATGTTGAGAGGAGCTCCTTGTGCCATTTGTAGTAGTAATATGTGCAGGTGCTGGAAAAATTAAAAAATAAATAAATTACATAGTCCAGACAAAATGAGGAAAGAAGTGAGGTTTTATAGCCCAACAAACAGCAGTGGTATTTAACTTACTTTGACTAGTAACATTGGTTTTAAAATCTACTTCTTGGCCCCATTGAGGTGGTACACCATTCGGTAAAGCTCCAGGCATTTTATTTACAGGAAATTGCTCACCTGTGCAGAACATGACGAAAAAATCATAAAAGGTTCAAAACAGTGCAAGATTTATAATGTGTATGATAGCATTGATTCAAGGAGCCTGAATATATGGTCAAAAACCTTACCGCCATGCAAAAACTGTGGCGTGGAGCCATTAAACTCAGCCATCAGAAATGTGTTTGTTATAGCCTGCAAAAGTGAAAGCACTAATGAAATGATTGAAATTTGTAAGGTTCCCTCATTCAATTTTATAAGACCAATAAAATACTAATTAATTATAATTGCTTCAACTAACAGGCAATACTACTAGAGCCTTAATGGGAGGGGAATAAGTGCAAATAGGTCAACAACAAATTGAACTTTGCACTTCAATCTGAAGGATACAGTCTCTACAGCACATAACATGAACCAAGTTGAACATAAATATGCTAGGCACATGCAGAGAGATTTCTACATTGACTGGGGTAAGAGAATCAAAAATATGTATTGGAATGAATTAATGAGGATGTTGCATCAATTATATAATACAATAAGGCCAGAACAAAAAATATTAACAACAATATAGAATTGTAGTGTTAAGGTGAAAGTTTTTCCCCAAATAATGGGATAAATTACTTCTGTGGCCCTTTAATGCAATAATTTTGACATGAAACATACGTAAGATTTAAGGTTAGGAACCACCTTGGTGAAATTTTGACACTTAATAGGCTGTCAGGGAGCCCATTTAAAAAGAGATGGGCGGCTTCAGACATGACAAACGTAATAAATAAACGACAAACACGGCACGAATAATGTCAAAATCACGTTGATTTCCCCATCACTCTTAAGAAATTAAGATTTCTGAAACTAGGTAAAGGGGAGCAGCAGTCTCTCAGAAATCTATACTCAGCCGGTAACCTAAAATGACCATTTACGACATCATGGCACAGTTCTCACGGCAGAGACGAGGCGGCAATATGAATATTTTCTAACCCGATCATTTCTTTTAATTTGGGCAGGAATAAAAATAAACGAAGGTACGAAGTAAATACCTACTCACGTCATCCTCAACACACAGACACACAGACGAGCCACATTCGGAATTCTCCCTTCAATTGTTTTGTTTTTGACATTACGTGGCATGGCGGCGAGCAGAACGTTACCAGTAAACGGGAGGGCGCTGATCGGAGCACGCGGGCGTCATTCGAAATCCGAAAGATTGAAAGGAGACGGGGATGCCCCTCGAATGGTCCGAAGAAAAGTCAATGGAATGGTTGAATCGCTCATTCATTCGATATAGTTCGGGAGCTCCTAATTGTTACGTAAATTATTCTCTTTAAAACATTCCATAGAAGTAAAGGATAATCGTGCAAAGCAAAGCAGGACCAAACCAACCACGACGGTGATGAAGGGAGGAAACATGAGAGAGGGAGCCCCCCAGGAGTGGCCATCCTTTCGTTGATAGTGTTATGCAGGAGTAAGAAAAACTAATTCTTTGAGGAAATATTCAGGAAGAATCAACCATACATTGTTAATAAAAACACGTTTAATTGTATTTCCATTTTCACAGCAAACTTAACATAACAGTACAAGACTACAACATTTATATATGCATCTCTATAGATTAACCAAAATTATTGTTCTTGCTACAACATATAGATATGTCAAACAAACAAGTAACAGTACCCTGTACATCATCACTACGAAACACATTTTTTTAACAAACACGTATAACGGGCACACAGACGCTATACTCGTGTGCGATTATATCGTCCTCTTTTGCCTTCCCCCGTGTTCAGGGTTAAATTAAGTCCACATGTACGGCAGGCAGTCTTGTGTCGCTTCAATAACAAAGACAAAAGTCATCTGCAGTGTGCGCGGGGAGGTCGCACGAGCCACTTAAGCAGAGAGCACCTCGGTCTGGACCTCCTCGACCGCGGCCGGCCCCACAGAAGCTGGGTCTGTTTCGGCCACCTCACCCGCGGGTCCACCCTCAGCCGGCGGGGGTGGCGGTGCAGCCCCCGCAGCAGGGTCCTCGCCGGCAGGAGGCTGCATCATCTGCTGCAGGCGCTCCTCGCGGCGTCGCTTGTGAGCCTCCAGTGCGCGGTGCAGCTCGTCCTGCTGGTTGCGGAGCTGAGCCTCAACCTGTAATAACAGCACACACAAGATAGTGCTCAGCAACTTACGAGGCTCAGGTATAGTATAGCGTTAATTCGCAGCTGCGAAATCTTAAGAGTACTTTCGTTGAGGTACTGAATGTAAAATTTCCCAAGGTAAACGGCAACAGTTCAGAATTCACCTGTTTCTAATGTTATTGCAGAGTACGGTACCTGTGCCATATCGATGACGGTGGAGTGCGGCTTTGAGGTGGCGGGCTGCTTCTCCTGGTTGGCGCTGTTCTGCCTCGTTGGGCGGTTGCTGCCGGCATGGCGGCGCGCCTTGCAGTCGGCGCAGTCTGCGCAGGACGTGCACGCGGCGCACGACACGCTGGGCACGGAGGTGTAGGCGGCGCCGGGCCCTCCGGGGCTGGGCGCCCTGGCCTGCGCGCCGCCCGTGCAGTCCTCGGCCGTGGACCTGCACGCCCGCAGCTTGCGGTGCCCGGCGCCCCGGCCGTTGCGGAACGTGGTCGAGCCGCCCGAGTCGGCGCGCGCCCTCGTGCACGGCCCCACGCTCTCGTCGGCGTAGCGGACCAAGCGCGGGCTGGGGCAGGGGCACGCGCCAGGGCACGCACCCGGGCACGCGCCGGGACAGGCGCCGGGGCAGCCTCCCGGACAGGCGGCCTCGCCCAGCCTGCAGCAGGGGCAAGGATCGAAATCTGCAACTCATCTCCTGAGAGATTTGCCCGTCCCTCGCTCCGCCGGGGGCTTACCTGGACGTGGCGGGGCTGGCCGCCCTTCGGACGGCGGAGCGCGGCGAGGGCACGGCCGTCGGTGAGCGTGGCGGTGAGCGCGGCGGCGAGCGGGTGTGAACGTCCACCGAGGCGTGCTTGGCCATCCGGCCAGCCAGGGCAGTGCGGGAACCGCCTCTGGGCGAGCCACCTCGAGGGGACCCGCGCGGCGACCCGGCTGGGGAGATCATCGGCGAGGTGTCCAGCCCCACGGCGCCATCCTCGAGGCTGCGCGCCGCGCCCGCCTCGCGCTGCCAAGACGTGCCGGTGCCTGTCAAAGGAGACTTGTGAGAGAACCAGTCGAGGCGGAGCGCCTGGCGACACCGGGGTAGGCAACACCGCCTGCCAGTCTGCGCAGCGGGACAGTGCAGCTCGCAGGCGCTCCCCAGAGCCGCGGAATACAGTACCTGCAGCCGCAGAGCACGTCTCCGTGGTCTCGGTGAACCAGCGCGCCCACTGGCCGTCGGCTTGTTCCCCCGCAAAACG